GTCTTCGCTTAATCGTCCGTAAGTTGCAAAAGATGTTAGAATCAAAAAAAAAAAAAATCGTTCATACATAATCTGAAATCTAGTTCAACGAGGAATGTAATAAACGACGACAAAAGATCAGTGTGTCAAATTTCCACATAAAAACTTTAGGAGTTTTATTACGGCAAATGTACCGAGTTTATTGTTCGCCGTAACACTTTTGTTATTGCCCGAGAACGCCGTATACACACATAAGTACACAACACTGCTCACGCACATGCTCTTTCTCACACACACACATAAACTAATCTTTTGTGCTATACTTTCTTTTTTCGTTCCCCTAGTGTTGTGTTTTTTTTATTCCTATTTTTTTCCGCGAAAATGACGACAAAGTAATAATATCAAACGTTTATGAGACGATTTATCCTTCGTAATGAAAATTAACTGTACACGATCGTCTAAGAAAAATACACATACACAGACACATGAACATAGATATTACGCTATCATTTATTTATATATACACGGGTTTTGGCGTGCATCCTGTCAAACTGCAGTGCGGTAAGTATCTCGTTTTCCACACGTTCTCGTACGACATGAAAAGTTATATATTTTTATTAGATCTGAAAGTTCGTAACTCGCACGCGCAGTAATCCGTTGGAACCTTGAGAAGTCCGATGAAACGAATTTAACAACCGGTCCGACGAGTGGACTCGTCCCCGTCGTCGTAAACGACGGCGTGCATTTTTGGGCGGAATAAAAGTATGAAAACAAACGGCGAAAGACGACGACCGCCGCGCATAGTATCGCTTCGGAGAAGTTCGGTTGCCGAGGTGCAGCGAGCGTATCCGTCCCTTTAAAAAGCCGTCATTAAAAGTCTCATGGCGCGCACAAGCAAGGAATACACAACGAGCACGTGTCCGGGTTCTCACACGTTCGACTCGGCGAGCGCGCGGATTGACTGCGAGGAATGCCTGCCTCGGGCGGTGGCGGGAGATTGAAGCCGAAATTGTGAGCTCCTCCGGACGTGTCTTAACTTATAAATACCCGGAATTTTCGCAGAAATGGGGAGCCGGCTGTAATATGTGCACGGGGGGAGCCGGTCCGCCGTTGTCGGTTGGCTGCGCAAATTGTAGCTCGGAGGATAAGAGGAAGGGAAAGAGAGAGAGAAAAAAATGGATAGAGAATAGTGCGTGATAGGAGTGGTAGGAAAACTGCGCTTGGCCGTGAATAAGAAGTATTATACAGTACGACAGCGGTGGCGTGTATCGAGTTAAATAATTTACTTAAAGGGAGTTACGGGTAATTGAGGAACGGAAAGAAACGCGTGTTCGCCGGCATGGCAATAACAACAATATTGCCGTTTTGGAAGCTTTTAAAGGGATTGCTGCAACTGAGCGCGAGCGGGCATGTCGAGGAAGGGTCGAGAAAAAAACAGATGGAAATAACGGTGGATAAGTGGGGAGAAGACCCATGGTAGGAAAAAATGTGAAGAAAAAAAATATATATAAAAAAAATACAAAACTCGAGCGTTCATTGTTCCGGCGGAGTGTACTGCCGGGAAGCGCGACGACGACGATTAATGGTTCCGACACATATCGCATGAGTGGTGTTCCGCGAAAGTCGCTCCACTCGAGCGGTGTGACACGCTGCGTGTTCGGCAATAAGATTATTCAAATGAGACGCGGTGGCGCTCGCGCACACGTTCACAGCCCACGTGGCCCACGGCGACAAGCAATTACAGTGTAAGGGTAGTATGGCCATAAGGGATAAGTGTTTCGGGCAGTGGTTTCCACGTCTTGACAATCACCTCTGCAGCCGTCATCGTATCCACATGAGTTCCAAGTCGTTGATAAGAAGTCCTTGCTGCCATTCAATCGAAAACGCGAACTTCGATCGGAATTTATATAAGACACGCAACGTTAACCATAAAACACTGTCGTCGGAAAGAAACAGTGCGGACAACCGAGAGTACCTGAAAAAATGCACGGACGAAATATTCAAAATATCTGTAATTGACCAACCTTGAAGCGCTTTAAACATAACCACCTTCGTAAATTTTGTGCGAAACCGAGAGGTAAACAGAATGCAACTTTGGCAAATGTGTGCTAACAAGTACTGCCTATCTAGATTGACGTCATTCCAGCACCCCAAACATCACAAAAACATTGTTCTAATGGTTACATCAACATCGAGTTACCCTACAGGCAAAGTAATCAGGTGATCGGAGCTATAAATTTGCCGTACTTAAGAAAAATTTATTATAAAATTTATAAAATTATATTATAATTTATGAATATTAGCCTTAGGTTATTAACTCAATGAATACTGAAATAGTTTCAGTGAACGCAATCAACTAGAAATGTTATTAATAACGAATCTATGTTTTTTCCGGAAACTGTTTATTGAAATATAATCATAGCTATACATTATGGCGATACATTCTGGGTACGCAAATATTTACGATAAATTCAAATTTTTAATCAACATAGACAAGAAGTCAATTGATACCGATGATATTGTTCAAGGAGCCAAAAAAACTACAACAATTTTATGAAACGGATATTGATAAAAACACATTTACATAAGAATGCACACATTTCAAAACTTATATGCATAATGCAACAGAAAAAAACAACAAAATCGAAGTTTATTTACATTTTTTAGAAATCAGAATTTAGAAGAACTATTTCCGAATGTTAGCATCGCTTTAAGAATATACTTCTGTATGACGGTTACTAATTGTTTGCTAGAAAGATCATTTTTGTGTCTCAAAAGAACTAAAACTTATCTAAGATCTACTATTGGCGAAAATCGGTTAAATAGTTTGGCTCTCCTGTGCATTGAATCGGAATTAGTGTCGACAGTTGACTTTCAAAACCTAATTAATACATTCGCTAACCTCAAAAGCCGAACGAAAATGATTTAATATTTGACTATTGTATTAAATTTAAAATAATAAAGAATAATTTAACTAACAATATATTTCTGTATGCATTTTGTTTTAAAAAAAAAAAGTTTAAAATAAAACGGCGGCAAATGTCCTGCTTATAGGCGGCTAATTTCTTAATCCGCCACTGAGTTACATACATCGTTAAAAATCGGTTATTAGTTTTCTAAAGAAAATAGAATAAACAAACGTCGAAGAACTATGAAACGCATCGAAATAATAACAATTTAAATGCAATGTGCCGCGATTCTATAAAACAATGCTAAGCAACGTTTCGATATTGCAGCGCGTGTTCCGGCGATGTTTAAAACTGTTTGTTTTTACATGTCAATGTACCGACTACGATGTTGACGGGCAGCGACGTTTCAAGTTTTAATTTACCGACAATGTCATAATGCGAGTGTGAGCACGAACGACATTTAATCATGATCGCTCCAATCAAATCCATGCACGTATCGGTGAAAATAATCTAAAATTAGATGTACCTGTATACATTTATTTTAATTATATACGGTTATAACGCCCTCTTTCGTTATAATTATACGTATATGGCACTGTCGACCTATGCGTGTTTGTACATATGATTAAATTAACAGTTTTTATACGAGAAATACGCACTAAAATAACGTTTTCAATGTCTCCGTTCGTTTCGGACGATGAGGACCGCATCCGTTTTCGGTTTTGAAACTTGTCAGAACACCGTTTTACATAACATCATGTAACCGTGTGTTCTTAAAAGAAGGGTAACTCATATTAGATTGTCTTTGTCCATCTGACGTACAGCACAACAAAACCATACTATGTAGAACACGATTTTGTGATGTTTATGATAGATTCAAAGCTTAAGCCCACAGGGCCGTCCCAAAGGAGGATATTTGGGGGGGGGGGTGTCTTATTCTCCCCCCTACAAAAACACCAGTCGGCAGTCGGACTTGTTTCATTATAGCCTAGAAAGACCTAATTTTACTTACGGAAAACAAATATTACATATTTCGTAATACGATATAAACACGAATAAAATTTATATAACTACTTATATACAATATAAAATATTATTTTATATATGTATAATTAAACTGTCAATTTTAAAAACGTGTGACACTGACACATATTTACATGTTAAAAAGTAAAAATACGACTACATATAGTTTATTATACTACATACATTGAGTAGAAAAATTATAGTCGGCATTTTTCATATTATTCACCCCCTCTTGATTTTCATCTTTGGGACGGCTTTCTAAGCCCATGACATACGGTTTAAAGGGATCACTATTTTTTGTAGAATATCGATGACTGACACAGGAGTTACGACTGTAAAAAAAAATTTAAAACTGAGATCTTTGTCAGTTGATATTCTAATATATTATAGATCCAAAGATAACTAAACTTTAGCTGACATCGTCTTAAGTTGTGTAACGACTGGTGGTGATGTTGATAACGGTTGATGAGTACTTCATGCAGTACCGCAACTACAAAATAGGAGGCCCGTGTGCGGTAATTATATTAGGCCCCTTCCTAGGTTGTACACCTTATTTATAAGTATCAATTTTTTTAGTTTTTAAAATACGTTTCACATCAGTTAGTATATGATATATATATAAATTTACCTAATACCTACAACTATTGTATATTATATTTCACTATATATTAATTTAAATAGTTTAGGTAGGTATGTTGTATGCCTATTAAAATACTCAATGGACTCATTGTTAAATAAATATTATATTACTCTAAAATATTATAACATCCTTACCTGAATAAAGTTTCTTTTTATTATAAAATAATAATATTAATTATTAAATAATTGTGTATTTGTAAAGTGTAATTTATTATAGGCTGGGACTAGGGGGTCCCCCAAATATATGTAAGCCTTGGGGCCCGTGTGCGTGGCACACTCTGCACACCCGGTTTTTGCGGCATTGACATCATGCTTATCAGCTAACGTCGAGAATATTAGCGCGTGCAGAACTTCAACCACCATATACCAAACCTTCAATCACATTTTATAATAAATGCAAATCAACTATAAAATTATTTGCATCTTTTATAATTTAATATATTTAATAAATTAAGAAGGCAACGGCAAATCACTGCATAGTAAAAACTTTCCTGGTATACAACAATCTAATAGAATACTGATATCAAACCAACCAAAGGATATAATCTAAAGAAAAATAAAATAAAATGCTACACAATAATTATAAGACACACGTCTAGTGTTTTTTATAACAAAGTCTAGATGAGAGGAAGGATTAAATATGATGTACGGAGTTAATTAATTCATTACCTATCATAAATTTAATGAATTAATACTCTCGCAAGTGTTAAATAAATATATTTTATGTATATTTAATTTTAGATTCTAGTTGGTGTATACGTTTTAGATGATCAATACTCTAAAAGCATAATATAAGTGGTGTTTTTATATGAGTATATACTGTGACTTGTGAATTAAAACTAAGATATATTTTATAACTGAAAACTTTTAAGAAGTCGGAAAACTCTTTGAAACTACTCCAATTAGATACGCTTATACAACAATGATTATACATGGAAAAAAACATTAATTTTTTTTTTTATCTCAAAAGTTTTGAAGAACAAGATTCATTCACTCCCTTGTTAATAAACTTATTAATATGATTTATTCATCCGATAAGTGAACTATAATAGTTTAACAGTTATACATATGTAAAAAAAAATAAATATATAGTATATTAAATTATTTTATATTTTTCCGGTTTTCCTCAAACTAATTACAACCACTCAAACACATTATTATAAAAAATAGAGAAACCAAGTGCTACTTAATTAATCTACCAAAATAATAATTCCAATATATTTAGATCAAAATAACATTATCATTATAAAAAGCCGCCATTATAAAGATCATTATACACAATTTTACTTAATTTTCTTTCCATTATCATATCACTTATTCTAAGCAATAATTTACTGTAATATGTTATAAAAAGAAAAAATTTAAAATAAATCATGATATTGTACAGCAACTTTTAAACTAATTTAAATTGTATTATTCAACTTCTAAAAATTTGTGATTAACTCTGACACATAAAAAAAACATAATATTATGTGCGTGGATTACACAAAATCTATACTTACAGTAAATTATAATGTCTATCAATAGATATACCTATTTATATATATTATATTTGGTTATAATTATATACTCGTATATTTTATCATTATAATACATACTATAATTATATTTTATTTCTATAACTATTTTTTTTCGGCATTGTATTAAATTATCATTAATATTCATCAATTTAAATAAATAACACAATTTGAAGTCAAGTTGTTTTAATTTTGAAGTAGTCATATCAGAAAATTATTGTTAAAAATATCTACTAACATTTATCTTTCAAGAATATGGATATGCGTACAAAAGAAAACGAAATGAACAAGGATATAAAACTCCGCAAAGCGTTTTTTTGTTTAAACAAGTCGTTTCAAATGCATCAAAAGTAGACATTAGGGTTAAATATAAAAAAAGCATAATATTACGCGTCTTTAAATCTTCTTTTCTATTCGGAAATTGTGAAAACAATTTTTTTCAAACAGTTATTTTTTCAACCAAAGAGTACATTTATATCAAAACATATTTCTTTATCTTATGTATTTTTAAATGGTATTTCAATCACGTGTTCCAATCACAAACTTATTGCAACTAGTACAGTTTTAAATTCATAATCAATCTGGTTTTAGTGTCCAATATAAATGTTATTATATTTTAGTTCGTTTCATGTAAATTGGGTACCATTGGCATAAGACATACAACTTGAATATTTTGATTTTTTAAATAAAAAATTTAAAAGTATTCTTAAAATATTCACATCAGGAACATTTTGTTTTCAACTATTGTACGTAAGAAACAAGTACTCAAAAAAAGTCATTAATCCTAATTGAAAAAGTTTCCATCCTCTCAGCATTGAGTTAATGCTCAAATTAGAGTCATAAGTTCAAAGAGAGATTATGAATATTTTTTTTCATTCATAAATAGCTTAAAATTAAAGTACAAATAAATTCGGGGACTTACATTTTTTCTCAATGCATTTTGTTTAAATTTAAGAAACCGAAAGTAAGTAGGTATACATTATAAAGTATTGAAAAATAATGTAGCCTGAATTTCACAATTCAAAAGTTTGGGTGACTTGCATGTTGAGTAGATGTTTCTCTAAAGCAAAAAAAAAAATATGTAACAAAGTACAAAACTCTGTTTTATACATTTGGGATTGATCTTAAAAAAAAATACAAAATAACAGTGAATTTTAAAAACCTCTTGACAATTTGTACATTTCAATTTTTATTTTGAATTATATCCCGTAACTTACGAATAGTTTAGAAATCTTGCAAACGATCTTAAATTAATCATAGATTTTTTTATTTTTTTATTTTTTTTTAGTTCAATTAAATCGATGTTTTTAATTTAAGTAATTGTACAGTCCCACTTCATACTCATTTGATACGCACTCTTGATTGCTTCCATATTTATTTTAAATATGTATTTTTTTTTCTCTCTGTCTTTCGTTGTTTGTTTGATGTGTGCATTCAATTTCACAAGTATAACGTGTCCACACACGATTAAATATGCTTAAATAACATTAGAAACACCAAAAATATCGTATAAGCCTTGAAAAAAAATAAATAAGAACAACGCCTTACGAGTCGCGTTGGCTTATCGCGAGTCCGTATACAATTCCGATAACGTAATTATCGACAGATATTTATGCCACCAAATAAAATCAATATAGATAAATGCTCAAATCGTTCAAATGAACGTCTGCTGTTAAAACGAAACTTTTTAATAATAATAATCGTAATAATATACACGGCTCTAAAACTCCAAAAATAAATGCAAATGCAAGTACTAGCAATTCTGACTGGATCACCACCTCAAATAAACAAAATCACTTCAATTCTTCCAATTCTACTTCTGATTCTACCAAATCACAAAACGTTGATCTAATCCAGTGGTTTTCAAACTTTTACTATACATGACACACCGTACACTTTAAAAAATTTTCATGGCATACTGACCATTATTTTTTTTTTTTTTTTAGATGAACAAAATTGTTTTGAATTAATTATAATTGTAAATACATTTAATTAGAAATATGTGATTAATGGGCTAACAAATATTTATTAATTATAATTACATTGTATTAGTAATTAAATTTATTTACAAAAAAAAAACATAGTACAGTTTATACATAGGTAAATTTAATGAGTAATGTGTGCCTGATGGGCGTTACAAATATTTTTAATTCTTGGACGAATAGTTGACAGACATACCCGCTTTTCTTCCTCCACTGAATTTAGTTTTTCTCGTTTTTTATTTTTTATATTCGTAAGCGCTGAAAACCATTGTTCAATAAGATATGAGGGTGAAAATGCCACAAGAATAGTCAGTGCTTTTATAGATATATCTGGATATTCTTTAGAAACATATATCCAGAATTTATTGAGAGTGATTTTTTTGAATTTCAACTGCAATGTTCGATCATCTTTAATTGAACAGATATTTTCTTCTTCAACAAGTTTTAAATCAACCAAGTCACTAATAGACACATTAAAAGTGTCCCGTACCCAGTCATAATTTTTAATATTAATACTTGGAAAATATTTATTCATTTTTACTTCTAACAATGTGATAAACTCGACTATTAATGACAAATTGTTGTCATTCGCAACTAGTAAAGCAGTACGTGGAAACATAATTAAATTACCTTGATTAATTTTAGTTTTCCATAAATTCAATTTTTCGATGAAAGCCATAATTTTGTCCGACGATGTTAGTATATTTTCATCACGACCTTGCATACATGAATTTAGTTTATTGAGATGCTCAAACAAATCAGTTAAGAAAGACAACTTTGTCCACCACTCTTCGTCTCCAAGAAAGTTGAATTCAGATTCTTCCATAATTAAAAATACAAGTAACTCCTCTCTCAAATTGTAAAATCGTGATAAAATATTCCCTCTTGAAAGCCATCTTACTGCACTGTATAAAATCAATCTTGAATAGTCTGCATCCATCTCGTCACAAATTTGTTCGAATAATCTTGATTTTAGAGGTCGGCTCTTAATAAAATTTATAACTTTTACAACTTGATCAATTATATTTTATAAATCACTTACTAAAGATTTTGCAACTAGGGCCTCTCTATGAAGGAAGAAATGGGTAAAAATAATTTTTGAATTTTTTTTCTTGACTTAAGAAATGAAACCTTTAATTGAGCCAGTCATTGAAGGTGCATCATCAGTGCATATTCCAATACAATTTTTCCATGATAAATTTACTGATGATAAATGATCGTCCAAAACTTTAAAAACATCTTCACCTCTCGTTGTTTCGGGCAATGTTTTACAACAAAAAAAGTTTTCAATAATATCGTCATCAACTACCATGCGTACAAAAACTAAAAGTTGTGCTTTTCCACTTATATCTGTAGATTCGTCAACTTGCAGCGCAAACATAAGATAATTGCGTAACGTATTTAATACTTGCTGCTCAATATCTTCGGACATGTCGTTTATGCGCCTACTAATTGTGTTATCAGATAAAGGAATTTTCAATATTTCTTGTTCAGCTTCTATTCCAAAAAATATTTTTACTATTTCACGGCAAGCGGGTAAAATTAATTGTTCACCTATTGTATGTGGTTTCATTGTTTTAGCTATAAGCTCTGCTACTACATGGCTCGCTTCTTGAGATTTATCAGAAATCTTTACAATTTTTGTCATACTTTTACTTTGCTTATTTTGTGAATTTAATAAACGTTGAAAATATGTAATATTTTTGTCGATCAAATGTGAATGCTTAGAATACAAATGACGTTTAAGTTTACTGGGCGCCATTGCTTCATTTGAGCACAACGCACCACGGACGAGGATTATCTGAATCACCAGTACAAGAAAATCCCATTTTTAAGTAATCTTCGTGATACTGACGAATATTACTATATTTTGTTTTTTTTTTTTTTAGGTGGTTGACTTACTGACGCATTATTGTCAACAGAACGAGTAACAAATTTATCCATGATTATAATAATTATAAATATATGTAAATATATACCACAATATTTTTTTAAAATACTCGTATGCTATTACAATACAATTAGGAGACAAACTACTCTACGAATACGACGAAACGTCCAGGTCGGTTGCGACGGATATACTGCCTGGGGATTTATAATATTACTTATACATTTTATAGTTCAATAGTTATCTGAAATTACTTATCTTAATCGTTTTATTCCTACAAACTGTCGATTTATTAATATATACATATATATAAAATCCATAGCGATTGAAAGCATATATTTTCTTATATGGCAATTCAATGCAATCAGTAATTTATGAAAAAACCACGGCACACCTATTGGATACTCACGGCACACCAGTGTGCCGCGGCACCCAGCTTGAAAACCACTGATCTAACCAGTTGCAATAAATATATCAGTGGCAGAACATGCTGATGATAAGGTAATTATATCTATGAACGATGAACCAATATTAGCATCTAAAAATCTTCAAACTCATCTGGACTCTATGGAAGACTGGTACAACAAATGGCGATTTAAAATAAACCCTATTAAATCTACTCGCACTTCCTTTACTCTGAGACTTACTCCTCCACTGGAGGTTACTCTAACCGGAGTTTCAATTCCTTCCTCCGCTACAGTCAAATACCTTGGTATTACATTAGATAAACGATTAATATGAGCTCATCATATAAAAGATAAAAATACATTATCTGAATAACCATCTACGTATCCTTAAATCTTTAATTTCTAATAAACACACTTTAATTAATATAAAACTCCTCGTTTACAAAACATTATTGAAACCGAATTGGACTTACAGTCTTCAGCTTTGGGGTATTGCAAAAATATCCAACCTCAATAAAATCCAATCATTCCAGAAAATTGCGTTAAGAAAACTAATAAGCGCTCTCCTATATATGTACGAGTATATATCAAACCATACTCTCCACTCAAGTCTGAAATTAAAAATAATTAATTAAGGACCCAACTGGTTCTATAAAAGATTCCACAATCGCCTCTCTTCGCATTCAAATCCTTTAGTAAATTTATCGTCTTTCCCAATTTCAGGTAGCTCTCCCAGAAGTTTAAAACTTAAATGGTGCAGAGACCTACTTCAACATTAAAAAAAAAAAAACTTTCAAATAATAATTTACATTTATAAGTGAAAATCCATAATTAAAGTGTTATCATTGGGCGGCTTTTTTTCTCAATATATGTTTTGTCACGCTTCTGTTATAAAATCACATACACTTATTATATCTATGATATAGATTGTTATTTCAACTTAAATAAAAAAAATAAAAAAAGTAGTTGTACGCGTATAAATTAACGACTATGTGTGTCTGTTATTGAAAAATAAGTTTATATGATTAACACATACGGAGTAACATAATTTGATTTCTTATTAATATTTAGCAAGATTATATAATGAAACAGTTTAAAAGTTAAAGATTCGTCCATTGTTAACATTTGACGCAACAGAAATGTTCGAAAGCTTTATTCTTAATATAACTTAGACAATACTATTATACTGTTGGGTTACAATACAATGTGGATTAAATAACTCAATTTTATGTGACATTTGACTTATAAATAATTATTACGTAAACATACAGCCGTATTTTGTATTTTAACTATTATTTCGAAATTTATAAGACAAATTGTTGACAAATGGAAGACGGCAATTTCGCCGAATTCTATTGATCGTATTGTTCTCAAAACAACGACAAAAAAACGGCGAAATCAAAACAAAGACTTGGCGTACCTAAAATGCACGGGAAAGACGTAAACGCCCGCGGGTCATATCCGTATACGTTTACAGGATTTCTCAAACCAAATCAAAAATGGAAATATAGAAACCCGATAACTATGTGGGGTAACATAAACTTGATGAAGGATGGGAGGGGACGAATAAAGATGCCGAACTCGTTGTTCATATGTACCATACGCTCTCAGTCTAAGGGGTTATTGATTGACGCTCTTCCGCCGCAGGGGTACGGTTGCAGAATACCGTGCGATAACAATATTTATACACACCCCCATTTTTGCGCGTTGCACACTTGCGGGCGAGTTTTGTTTACGAAAACTATATCAGCTATTGGGGAGTAATCGAGAAGTTAGCCAAATAAGCCTGAAGGGATCGCGATGCTTTTAGCGCACCCTTTGCCTTCCGGCATAGTCGCCTGCAGCGTCCGCTGTACACTTCAATAACGATATTTAAGTGTACAACGTATTCTGAAGTTATTAGATTTAGTAAATTTCATCATGGAGCGCAATATTGTTTTTCTGAAATATTATATTAGCACAGAAAATATTGAGTTTAAATGGGGAATTATAAGAATACACATAGATATTTTTAAATTAAACATTTGAATATTTATAACACGACGATTAAAAAGTATAAATATAATTTTATGTATTACATTAAGTTTCAAAGTATCCTATTTAACATTATGCAAAATACACCGCACATTGATAGTTGGTACCAGGGACCAGAACCGTAACCGAAAAGAGCCGGTACTGGAACTGGTTAATCTTTAAAATTTAGGAACCGTAACTGAAACCGGAACCTTTATTTCCAAAAATGAAAAATCGTAAGCGTAACCTTAATTATAAAAGGGTTAATTTAGGTCAGTTATTTAGACTAGTAAAACTATGGTAATGACTATTTTGTTTGTCCATTTGTTGGTTAAGAAAAATAAAAGCCAAATCTTTTTATGTTTTTATTATTTTGTGTTGTAAACAGTAATAGTGTAATGCATATAATAAGTAAATTTGTAATATTATTATCATTATTATTATTTTTATATATTTAATAATATATTACAATTTACAATGAGTATATCATCTATCTTGTTTATTAAGTATTAAATATAGTTAATGTTTTTACAAATTTGTAGCTACAACAGTAGCCAGTATTAACTTTGATCCCTAATTAAAATTAAATTTTAAATTAAAGATATTTATTTCATCAAATCATAATATTCCATAATATTACAAAATATTTTATAAATTCTTACTATGAGTTGGAATAACATAATTTAACCTAACTCAAAGAAATATAATAGGCTGATATAATATATATATATATATATATATTTAATATATTTATAATTATTTTTTTTAACTATTCATAATACCTTCTATTTTCATGAAATGAAACAATTACAATTTAAACAAGAATAAATAAATAATTTCATATTATTTTTTAATAAGTCTCTAATAATCAGAATTAACCGAAATTAACCGGTTCTAGAACCCTTACTCTTTTAAAAAACTGAAACCGGAACCGAAAAAACCTATAGGTTCCAGTCCCTGGTTGATACCAATAATGAAGATGTCCAATACATTAAATTATCAATAAAAACTTTGGTCCACTGAATAATAATAACCGTAAAACATAGGAGCTGTGTTTGGAAACGTCAACTTCATAATATTTTGATAGTTTCCTTTTCAGATAATCGTTAGTTTGTTGTCGATTTTTCGAATTGGTATTGTCGTGAGTTCGAGAAATCTTAAGCCCATACCGCGTCTCCCTCAAAACATTTTCGCGCATACAACAATATACGCGGAACTTATCGAGGTGCCTCTACACTAGCATTTTATTACGTAGAATTGTAGAGGCAATTTCGAAAAATGTGTTTCCAATGTTGTGTTAGTAACATGTTATGTCCTTATCTACATAATATTATGTGCAAACAATATTATTCTTATCTGCAATGCGAAGTCACAGCGTTATGCGGGGATTTTCATACGCACTCGCAGTCACAGGTCAAATCGTTCGAAACCACGAACATAAAGTGTACATTTAACACTATCTAGCCCTCAAGAAGCGATTAGTAACCATACTATTAGCAGTACACTGTAAAGATACTCAGATCTAAGTTTTAAAAAACAAAATAATATTCTTCAGAACATACAGCATCTTATGTAATTCAATATTATTAAAACTGTTTCTAGTTGATTAATTATTTTTAGTTCGGAAAATTG